GTGGGCGGCTTCCTGGCCGTGGTGATCCTGGTGCTGATGGTGGTGAAATGTGTGCGCCGGAAAAAGCAGCAGAGGCTCAACACGGACGACCAGAAGACGGAGGAGGAAGGGAAGACGGATGGTGAAGGCAACCCGGACGAGGGCACCAAGTAAAGGCCCCGTGCCCGCCCCTCCCTCCTGCCCCCTGTACAGTGTGACCCTCTTGATGTGCTTCCAGAGCAAGGATTTCTGTGTCCCCAGAGCATCCCTCCTTCCATGCCAACACCCACCCCAGCCTGGAGCAGGGCGCAGAGAGGAGGTCCCTGGAGCCTGGCTGGGCTGGGCAGGGCTGGGGAGAGGGGTTGAGGCCCTGAGGCTGAGCTGGCACCGGCCTGTCCCTTGCTCTGGGTTGTGCCAGTGTAGTGAGGAGGTGCTGGGGACAGGCTGGGGTGGGTGAGGGGGATCTGTGCAGCCCCCACAAACAGAGGGGCTGGAGCAGGGGGTGCCAGGAGGGACAGAGGGGTCTGGGCAGCCCCGTGCCCCATTGTCTGCACTCTGTCCCAGTGGAAAATGTGAGCCAGCAGTGTGCCCTTGGGGCCAGGACTCATCCCGAGCTGCTCCTGCTGTGCCTGGGCCACTGGCACTGGTGTTCCCATCCCCAGGGACCCCAATAGCTGCCAGGCTCCTCCTTGCAAGCTCCTGCTCCTCAGGGACTGTCCCAGGCTGCTCAGAAGTCAGAGGCCAAGGCCATGAACCCACCCAGAGTCCTGGAGCTGTGCAGTGTTTTGGAACCATGACCAGCCCTTGGTGTGTGAGGGATGCACCCTTCTGCCTCTCGGGCTGGTTTTGGGTCTGAGCATCTCAGCCCAAGGTGCTGGGATGACTTTTGTGTGCTCCTTTCCTTCTTGGGGAGTGTGGTTGTGGTGGAAATGTCCTGCTGATGTGTCAGACTGGGGTGTGGGGAGTGCTGGGGTGAGGCTGCTCGGGCCAAGGAGCTGCTGAAAGGGAGAGGAGCCTTTGGGCACTTGCTGGGAAGGACTGGGCACAGCAGCAGGCCCAGAGTTAGGACAGCTCTGTGATGCTGAGACTGCCTCCTCCAGCCTCCCTGCAGAGCACTCCACACTGTAACTGCCATGGCAATGCACTGCCAGCGTGCCCAGCCCCGTGTGCCACCTGCCTCACCTGCCAGGTGAGCTGTGCTGGCTGCAGCACCGGGCTGCAGGCAGGGAATGACCCAGGGCAGTGTCCCCTGTGGCACCAGGCCTGAGCTTCTCTCCTCCCGTGGATGCCAGGAGGGGGACAGTGCCCGGAGCCACAGGGGACACTGCCCTGGGGCAGGGGATGGAGGTCCTGTCACCCATGAGCAGCACTGCCATGGGAGAAGGGACAGCTTTGACACGTCCCTGTGCAGAGAAGGGACACCTGTGCAGTGTCC